AGCACTTCAACCACTATGAAAGTGACAAATGTACAGAAACCAAAAAGACCGTCTCACCCGGTTGAGACTTCTCAGCTTCTCTTTCCTCATTTTTTTCTATTTTATTATTTTTTAATGGTATGAGACGGTGACCAGTTTATCAATAATCATGCTCTTAGTTTTCGTCAATATTTTTTCAACGTTTTAAAAAATTTTATGTATTTATGGAGGCAAGACAAAAAAAACAAACTAATTATTTTTTTTTATAATGAAAAACTAATAAATAAACATGTTAAAAGCTAGTTTATTTTTTTTTTAATTCCGTTTGACTAAACGTGATTGGCGAGTGGAAAAAAAATCAGTAAATAAAAAGACTATGCTCTCTCGGCGTCTTCTTCCTTCCTCAGATTTCTACGCAGCGAAACTCAAATCAATCTTTTCTCCTTCAATGGCATTGATCCAACATGGTTCGGTTTCTGGATCTTCTGCGGTTCGATTAAGCTTCTTATCGTCCACATCACCACCGTTGACGACGAGGATTTCTCTCAATTTTCAGCCGGAGAAGAAAGGTTGGAGGAAGAGTTGTTCCCGGAGAATGATAAGCAGAGCTATGGTACAAGAAGCTGTTCAAGGGATTCCTTCCGTTTACGCTAGAGAAATGGAACGTCTCTCCGCTAAGGAATCACTGATTCTCGCCGTAAAACTCCTTTATCTCCTCCTCTCTTCTTCAATTCTTCGATTTCCCAAATCTGAAACTCTCTCATACTGCCTGATTGCTTAGAAATTGGTGAGAATTAGGTTTAATTTTAGTATATGGTATTTGGAAATGATTGATTGCTTGAATGGATTCATAGTGAAATTGTGTGTTTTTGAGATTCTCTCTGTTTGTGTTCTGAAACCAATTTAGATTTACAGTTCAATGATGCTGGAGGATTTGAGGCTTTGGTTACAGGGAAAGTCACTGATCTTCAAAAGATTGATGTGAATGAGAGGATAACTAGTCTTGAGCGGCTTAACCCGACTCCTAGACCAACCACGTAGGTGCTCGATGCTAGCTTCTTGTTTTGAGTTTTGATGGGTTTGATAGGGACAATGCCATTAACTGGTTCCTTGTAGCTTTCCAGGTCTCCTTATCTCGAAGGCAGATGGAGTTTTGAGTGGTTTGGATCCAGCACTCCTGGTTCACTTGCTGCGCGGGTTATATCCGAGTCAGTGTTCTTACATTCTTTCTTATTATCGATAAGCTTTACCAGTCACAGACACATTTTAGTTTCATCTTGTGATTTTAAAGCATGATTCTATCTGTTTGGAATTGTGGCAGGAGGTTTCCTTCGACGTTGTTGAGTCTATCCAATATGGACATAGTTATTAAGGATGCTAACGCAAAGGCGACTGCAAACATCAAACTGCTAAACATGGTAGATATACTTCTTCCTCGGATAAGAACTTATGGAAACATAAGCAGATTCAAAGATGAGTTTTGTTTTCCCTGTTGGAAAAAAATGCAGATAGAAAACAAAATCATCTTGTCATCGAAATTGACGGTAGAAGGGCCTTTAAGGATGAAAGAAGAGTATTTAGAAGGAATGCTTGAGTCGCCAACGGTTATTGAAGAAGCAGTACCGGAACAGCTAAGAGGGTTATTGGGTCAAGCTACCACGAGGTTGCAACAGCTTCCTAGACCTATCAAGGATACTCTAGCCAATGGTCTAAGAATTCCTCTTGGTAAGCCATAAGCAGCATTTTCCTTTTCTCACATGTGTGACATAGTAACCACGCGGTTTTGTTGTTATTGACTTCCAGGTGGATCTTACGAGAGATTCTTCATGATATCTTATCTAGACGACGAGATTCTTGTAAGTTCTTGAAATGTTATGTTCATAGACCTTGAAGCTTACCGAGTTTAAAACGAGTCTTTGTGTTGTTATTGGTGTGTAGATTGTAAGAGACACCTCGGGAGTGCCTGAAGTTCTAACGAGGGTGGAAACATCGTCTTCATCGAGCGTTGTAGACAAGCTTGAATACAACAGTTAAAAAAACAGGTCCTTATGATACTCTGTTTCTGTAAGTAAAATATAAAAAAAACCAAAAGTGAATACAACTTATACCAATCTCAAACACCAGACACACTGGAGACCTCTTTTCTCTGTATCTTTTGTCCCATTCGATTACGAAATATTTGTCTTTGTTGATTACGTTAGTGAATATGTTTTGGATTATATGTTTGTGATGATCGTTTCTATATGAAATGTCTTTACAAATATCATTATCCTTCATTTATCACTTTGAATAAACGAAAAGGTTACAAATCCCTATTTACTTATAAAATGTGTTGAGTCAACAGTTTAGAGGACGTGCAAGAAAGCAAAATTAGACACAAGACATTAATTAGTGTAAACTACATGTTCAACACAATGAACAAATCTTAAGACATTAAGGGAGAAATAAAAAAGGAGTCTAAGACATCAAAACAATTAATTAGCCTCATATTAAACAAGAATAAATAAATTAAATTTACTTCCACAAATAGTCTAATAAACAAAAGAAAAGACACCACTTAAAAGGAAAAATAAAATAAAAAATATCTTCTTTTGAGAGACAATAGTTACGCGAATTGGAGGTGAGAATCTGATGAGAAAACTGATCCACCATGTAAGTGAGAGGAAGAAGAAGAGTTGGAAGAACCAGAAGCATCAATGGAGGACAAGGGTAAATATGGAAATTCACCAAGTTCTTGAATAAACCCTTCGAAATCTCCTAAACCATTCAAGAACCCTCCAGAGCTCTCACCAACGCCATTGTTACCATTCCAAGTCATCGAGATCTCTTCATTTCCTTCCATTTCTGAGGTTAATCCAAATGCTTCCGTGTTAATCATCAAGACATG